TGATTCCAACAGTTTGACTCACACATGGATGGAAATTTCACATTCCTAGCTGTCACATTAACCATCATCAGTTTCTTCAACAAATACCATGGAAGATCTGAATTACACTTAACAGTGTCATCAGTGATGGTCTTCTCATCAATCTGAAGTATCATGCTCAGGGATAGCTTCTCTGTGCAGTGCCGCTCCAATCCCAGATCCTCCAAGAAGCTCTCAAGTTGTGTCTCTGTGGACATGATTGCAATGCGTGATTACAATGATTATTAAATCCAGAATTTATTTAAATACTAAATCAAAATTAATTGTAATATACTCAGTTGCCAGTTCATCAGTTAAGCCTAGCTGAAACTAATGCAGTATAATACAAGAGTGCTGCACTAAATCCTACCTTTACGAAATGTATTATATTGTTTTTAGTTTTGTTCATTTAAATTCAAGGTCCTTTTGGAGGCTTAATTTTGTTGTGCTGTTGAATTGTATGGTATTACACTGACAGGAGGTTCTAATACAAGATACAAGATTCATTTATTCTTCTACAACATGCAAGGTGTAGTCCCTTTATGCTACTCACAAAACAAAAATTATATAATAATTGATTATTATATGGATGAATGAGTAATTATATGGATGAATAAATAATAAGTAATAAAATAGTTTTTTGTTATTGTGCAGGCAAGAATGATGGTGGGTGATGGTTTATCCACTGCAGAGCCCTCCTGCATTGGGCTGTGCATATGCCATGCCAATTTGTAATGTTTCCAGTCAAGAATATGACCCCATTTATATCAGTGAGGGGAGCCAAAATATTCTAAAAAGCCTCTATGTAACGTAAAAAATATACATTTTTGTGAATCTCTTAAAAACACTTCACAATACACATCATTTAAATCTTCAGAAAGAATTTATTGTAGGTGTGTATTGTATTGTTTGTATCGCATAACTGTTGTATTATTAGACTGCACTCATTTAGCTTTTGTTGCACTTAATAAACTAGCAACTGAGTCTAGAATAAATGCATTTGCAGTGTAAAGGAGAAAAGTACATTTTTATTATTGAGCAGTAACTGAAAGCAGCAGACCAATAAATCTGTTGTCTTTTCTCAAACCTACAAGTTGCAACTAAGGCACTGTAAATACAATTTTTTTGTCTCTTGAACAAAAATACATTAAGTAAATAGCTAGTTCAGAAATCCTAAGTCAGGTTTTGTTTTAACATTCCAACTTTCTGTCAAACTATTCAGTTTATCTCACTTGTTGCTGCTTTAAAGCAGCTTGATAAATTAGAGGTTAAGTGTGTAACATTTAGATCTATTGACAGAAATGAAAAATAGTATTGATACGGGGAAATGTATCATTTAATAGGGACTCCACGGGTCACCAAAGGGCTCAGACACGCAGGTCAGTTAAGTCGAGATGTTGTCTCACTGTAAGTTTCGTCCTGTCAGAAGCTGCTGTTACCTGTTTTTAATGGAAGTGCAGCAGTTTTTATACTATGGACCCACTATGTTTCAGATTCACATAATCACATGTCCAGTAAACATGTCCATGTTTACATACTATATCTTGCAGACATTCAGAATTCCATGACAATAAAGTAATGTCTCTACAAACCCACATCATCCTAAGAGGATCTCTGTGTTGGTGGACCACTGGTGTGCAGGAGCTTTAATATCAAAACTTTATTAGGGATCGAGCACTGAAAGACCCTATTATTCCTCTAGGAATTATTATTATTATACCTTTGGAAGTTCAACCGCATATTTGGCCCCCGCAACATCCTCAAAATGGAATGAAAATTTGCACAAAATTCAAATGTAGCTAAAATATTGATATGACATTGTCCCCGTGCACGGGCGCCGCCAAACGTCTAAGCCACGCCCCCCAGAATCAGCCCCCAAGACATGTAAGGCCCACATGTACGAAAATTGCTACGCATGTGTATCATGATAAATGAAGCAGAAAAGCCTCTTGGACCCATGCCCAGAAACCCACAGGAAGTCTGCAATTTCAATTTTTAATTTTCATCATTTTGTGGTCATTTTGACTTTTTGGGCTTGTATTTGAACGAACTCCTCCTAGGGAATTTATCGGATCTGCTTCAAAATTGGTCAGTACAGTCAAAACATGGTGCTGAATGAACGCTGTTCAATTTGTAACTGTACGTTGAAGGGCGTGTCCGTGGCGTGCTGTCAAAGTTGGCCATTTCTAAGTCTGTGGTCATTTTCTGTGAATTTTCGCCTTGCATTTAAACAAACTCCTCCTAGGGAATTTCTGGGATCTGCTTCAAAATTGGTCAGCGCAGTCACAAAATGGTGCTGAATGAACGCTGTTCATTTTTTCACTGTACGTTGAAGGGCGTGTCCGTGGCGTGCCGTCAAAGTTGGCCATTTTGAAGTCCGTGGTCTTGTATTTGAACAAACTCCTTTGGAATTTATCAGATCTGCTTCAAAACTTGACAGTACTCTTGAATAATGTTGCTGATTACAAGTTGTGCTATTTATGACTGTACGTTGAAGGGCGTGTCCATGGCGTGCCGTCAAAGTTGGCCATTTTGAACGAATGTCACACTGTGATGTCATTTTGGCATTTCAGGGCTTCTCATTCATTCGTATTTTAACCAACTCCTCCTACAGGTTTTATTGGATCTACTTCAAAATTGGTCAGTGCAGTCAGTTTTTTTGTCCAACATTGTGCCCGTGGCGAGGCGTCCCGTGGCATCCAATTTCAAACCTTCGCCATGAAAGAGGGATTAATCATAACTTCTGTGTACATGATCCAACTGCAACGAAACTTCACATGTTCGATAACAGTCCCGCCCTGAACACGTCTATGTGATAATATTCAGTAATAGTCAGAACGCCACCTAGTGGCAACAGGAAGTATCACGTTTTATACTTTCATGTTCTACTCCTAGCAGGATGATCAGATCTAGCTGAAATTTACTCATAAAATGCAAAACACATTGTTGATGATATGTGATGACTGCGGTAAGTGGGCGTGTCTGTGGCGTGGCGGGAAATTTTGATGTACCGCCACAAAACACAAATTTGCTATAACTTGAGTGTACATTGTCCAATCGGCTCCAAACTTGGCCTATGTGATAATATTCAGTAATAGTGAGAGCACCCCCTAGTGGTGAAAGGAAATGTATTTTTCGTACTTTTATTTATATCTTCAAGCATATTGACCAGATCCAGCTGAAATTATGTGAGAAGCTCCTTAGGAGGATGAGAATCACATATTATGAATCTTAAGAATTTGCATGGAACCATGTTGTCGTGGCGATGCGGCAAAAATAAAAAAATTACACTTTTGGGGGGACTAAACATGCCTGAAAACTCATGAAACTTTGCACAGCATTCGGTGGTTCCGAACGCCGAGGTATTGTCTTGGTCCCGTGGATGGGCGTCGCAAAATGGCTTAGCCACGCCCCGCAGAGTCAGCCCCCAAGACACGTATGACTGACATGTATGAAAATTGCTACGCATGTGTATGATGATAAAAGAAGCAAAAAAGTCTCTTGGACCCATACCTCAAACCCAACAGGAAGTCGGCAATTTTGGATTCTGTCGCGATTTGCACACGTTGTATTTGAACGAACTCCTCCTAGGGCATTTATTGGACCGACTTCAGATCTGACAAAGCCATCTAAAGACATTCACCATTAAAAGTTGTGCTCTTCAGTTTTTTTTGTCAAACCTCCTGCCCGTGGCGTGGTGTGCCGTGGCATCCAATTTCGATCCTTCGCCATAAAAGAGGGATTCCGTCATAACTTCTGCGTACATGATCCGACTGCAACGAAACTTTACATGTCTGATAAGAGTCCCGCCCTGAACACGTCTATGTGATAATATTCAGTAATACTCAGAGCGCCACCTAGTGGCAACAGGAAGTATCACGTTTTATATTTTAAAGTGCGTTTAGGCTAATAACTTTTGTATAATTTGTCACACATTCAAAAAACCTGTATCCACGCGTTCGGTGAATGAAGCTGAATCTCCCCATATAGGCCACACACATTACCCCCAGAGGTTTTTTTTCGGCTAGAGCACAAAATGTCCACAAACTACTTTTTCGTGCTTTGTCCGATTCGCACAAAATGTTGCACGTAACATCTGGGGACTGTCCTAATAATAAACTAATTGAAAGAATTTTGATAATTCTAAAAATAAGCATGTTATAGAATTAGCACTTCCTGTGGATTTTTGTTCAAAAGAGGAAGTGGAGTATTTTTCCACATTGGTATGTCCGATTGACACCAACCTTGGGTCCATAGTTCCCCATGTCTTCCTTAGCCATTGTGCACAATTTCAGGCCATCGCCACTAGGTGGCGCTCTTTAAAATGAAGAACTACAGGAAGTATCACGTTTTATGCTTTCATGTTCTACTCCTAGATCCAGCTGAAATTTACTCATAAAATGCAAAACGCATTGTTGTTGATATGTGTTGACTGTGGTGAGGGGGCGTGTCTGTGGCGTGGCGATAAATTTTGATGTATCGCCACGAAACAAGAATTTGCTTTAACTTGAGTGTACATTGTCCAATCGGCTCCAAACTTCCCTTGTCTGATAAGAGTCCCGCCCTGAACACATAGTGATAGCGCCACCAAGTGGCAACAGGAAGTAAGTCCTGCATGGCAATTTTGAGCTGATTTACGTGACATTTTCATGTTGTGGTCCGCGCTTGTTACGACGGCACGTAACGTGGCCGCAGCACAACCCGGACGGCACGTGACGCTGCTTTTTGCAGCTTTAATTTTAATTGAGCTTTTGTCTCTGCAGAGAGGGCTGTATTTTATTTTAAATAATTTATTCCTCTTTTATTTGAATACATAGTCTAAACAGAGACTCAAAAAAAGTGTTGACTCTATTGTGAAAAATCATTACAATAATGATTTTATTTCACTTACTTGTGTGGGCAGACTTTACAGTCGCCTTGCTTATTCTTCCATTCCTATGTTGTGCAGAAACATGGAGGGAGTAACACGCCCCTGGCTTCAGGTCGCTGAGAGTCAGGTTGTTTGTGTCTGTTGTCAACTCTTGCACAGTTTCTCCCTCACTGCAACAAGTCACAATGTAACTCTCCACTTCCCCAACAGGAGGGTCCCAACGCAGAGACAGTGACTCACTGCTGGCCTGATAGACAGCAATCTGCGCAGGAGGGCTGGGCTCTGTGGGGATAATATACAATTATATTTCACATATAATGGAAATTCAAGTTCTGTCAAGGTTTGACTACACTTAAAAGTGCAGTGTGACTACCAAGCACAAGAGGTGTGGTAAAAGATAAAGACACATACACATACTGTATACATATATACTATATATACTAACCTTTATAACATAACTTGAAAGCATCAGTGTAAAAGTACAATTGTATATGAGTCCAGATACCATTCGGACAACACTGTCTTTAATGTTTGTTTTAGTTTCTTTGTTGTTTTTTTACTGATTTACAGATTTACCTGTGAAGACAGATAGCGAGGTTGCTTTGCTTTGACTTCCATTATCTGCAATCCTTGTGATACTGAAAGTGTATTCAGTCCCAGGATTCAGTCCCTCAACCTTCACAGTGCCGTAGTCCTTTGTGATCAAACTGTCTCTGTGTGTGTCACAGGAGTAATCTACTTGCAGTTTATACCCAACAGAGTGATCAGTGAGTGGTAAACCAAGAGAAACAGTCTCCTGATCAGCATTGAGAACTGTTACTTCAGGTGGAGGGACATCTGAAATAAGAGAAGAGAAGTGCATCTCAGTATCCACATTACAGTGTGTATTCAGTCTTTAAATTGGATCAGTAATTGACAGACACACTTACAGTCAGACTGTGCTGTTGGTGGAGTGTTCTCTCCTTTCTCACAATTTTGCTCAGGGAAGGATTCAGTTGCATCATAGAACTCCTTGGTAATTTGTGTAAAAAATCAATTGTAATCAGAATCCCATTCATTTAATACTTTTTTAATTATTAACTGTATGTTTAGAGTTGTAAAAAAGATTGTTACCTCCTCATCTGAGCTTTCCATTGTGGGTACACTTTCAGCCATCTCACATTTGGTTCTGATTATTCACACTGCATCTCACTGAAAGTAATAGAGAAGAACTTTGTAATACCTTCCTCCCCAACAGCAATTGATTTTACCCAACAATCACATAGTTAAAAATACAAATACTCTACAACCTACTAGTCTACAATATCAAAAAATAACTAGTGCTGGGCACAATTAAAATGTTTAATCGCAATAAATGGCATGGTTACTCGCAGAAATATATCAATAATGAATTCAAAAGTAGTGTATTGCGCATTATTATTTTAAAAGTACTTCTATATGAACAAAAGTGCAATAACATTTGGTTTGCACAACTTTACACAACAAATAAGTTGCTTTTTAACAGCAGTATTGCCTTTACACAGTAGCAGTTAAAACATTTCTTGCAGTGTGCTGACTTTATTTGAAACATTCCACTGCTGTGCAAGCAAAATGTCTCTCTTCTGTTTTCATTACAGTCAGAGCATGTGAATGCAGCTCCCACTGTCCATCAATATAATGCACTGTAACTCCGAGGTAACTATGGTTACCCAGGCGATGTCCAGTAGTCTCCAGTGAGAGCAAGAGTTGGTGCACGTTGTAACGCCGTCGCTTTTGTAGTCCTCTTCTTTTCATACAACTCGTGCATTCTTCTTGTGATGGTGCGTCTTGAGGGAGGCTCATAGTGCCCTCATTCGTTCTATAGATCCTATCTTCCACAATACTAATCGGCCTGCAGTCTGAAGCTATGCACTTCACTATGGCATCCACTCCCCTCCTGTGACCCATGATTTGTCTGGATGTTGTATTTAGAGCCAGTGAGCAACGGACTTTCAAAATAATAATAGTTTTTTTTTAAATGGCGTAAATGCGAGATAAAATACGTCGGCGTTAATTAATGAATGCGTTAACGCGATAATAACGCGTTAACTTGCCCAGCACTAAAAATAACACTACTAACAATACTGTAATCAGCCCACTATGGGAGGATTAAAGCTCATATGTAATAGGTCTTAAAAGAGAGAGGGGGGGCCTACCTTTGTAGGACAGATTTATACATGGTAAAGATAGTATCCAATCTTTTATCCAGGAGTTTTTGTCTTCTGTACATGCAATGTTCTGCTATAGGTAGTATTTCCGAGGATACAGCTCTGCACTTATGTCAGTACAATAACAGGTCCCTCCCTTTATTCTGTCAGGCAAGTTACTTTCTGTTTTGTTTTCCTAGAAATAGATGATCTGATTTCCACTAAAAGAGAAACTTACTTGTCCCGGTATCCCCTTTGCTGAAGGCAGGGATTGGCTGAAATAGAGAGCCTATAGGGAGTGGATATTTGAGTGGTTATGGCTTTGTAATCAGAGTAGTTGGATTTGCATTTTTTTCAGTATTTTTTGCCATTTTGTTTGTTGTTTGTCATAGATATATTATGTAATAACCATTATGTATTGCCATCCCAATAATTTTGTACGTTTCATGCCCAACATGGAGCTTGCATTGGAGTTGGACTGAGGTCACTAATAAAGTACTCTACAGAGGACATTAGCTCATGAACAGACAAAACAAACATGCCTGATAGAGACTAAAATTTGACTTAAGATTAAGTTGGTAGTGTTGCAATATTAAAAAAACTTTGTAAAAGGACAAGTACACACAGTACACACTTCTCCAAGAATACAACAATACCATGGTAAGGTAAAGGAGTTTGAGCATAGACTATATCTTTACAAATATATGTCACAGTCTTACACATTCAAACTTTGTAGCCCAGTCAAGTAACAAAAATATTCACTATATGAATTACTCAGTTACACTTCATAAGAAGCACAAACTGGGGGTACTATTGAGCACAGGTTTCAGCGTCTTGCTGTCAGCCATCGGATTGGATTTTCCATGTTGGGTCCATGTACAATGACAATGAAGGATAAAAAAATCAACCTGTCATCCAATATGACTTAATTCCTACATCCATTGGCTTGTTTGTAAAATCCAGTTTGAACACAAATCAGACCAGAACTGAACAGCAACAATGTATGGCAACAATGTATTCAAAATGTTGAATTCAGATTAGATCCCTGCTTTCAAATTATGTTATATTTATATTTTAATAGGGACTAACACCTAACACAGCAACTATATTATCATCATCATCATATTCTGGAATATTACATTGACCCACAATAAAAACTGTCTAGTTTAACTCACACTTTATTTTACAGTACCACCTCTCCTCCCTTTGTTATATATTTACATAGGCCTAAGCATTGTTGAGAGGGGCCTGAGAGCTCAGGATATCATTGCCAATGACTGCTTCACTGTAATTGTTGTTCATAGGATAATAAACAACCTGAACTTCACTCCTTTTATCACACCAGGTAGGTCCTTTCTCTTTTGTTTTCCAGAAACAGTAAATGATTACCTAGTTATCAGTAAAACTAAATTTGTAGGCAATGTGAAGTGTGTAGGGATTTGCCCATGGCAAAACTGAAATCTTTTTCAGCTACGTGGTATTCATAAGTTAATTATTTTGTCCTCTAGATTAAGTGGCAGTGCAGAGTGCTCACTTTATTCTGTTAGTCATAAACACAGGTGAGAAAATAATTTAGATCTTAGAAAATGGATGCCCAGGATTTTTTTTTTCTCACGTCAGGGCTTCCCGTACTTTTAGGGTTGGAATAATATGTTATCAATAAATCTGAAAGCGATTATTTTCATAATTAATCATTTGGTCTTTACAGTGTTACTCCATAATGAAAACATCCCATCACAATTTCTTATAGCTCATGGTGATGTGACCACATGTCTTGTTGTGTTCAACCATCGCTTCAAAACCCAAAGATATTCAATTCACAGTGATACAGACAGCAGTCGAAATCATCACATTGCAGCTGGAATTAGGGAATGTAATGCATTTTTACTTTTTAAACTGTCTTTTAAAACCAAGCAGTTGTTCAACCAATCAATTAACCAACTTACAGGATAGTTTCACTTCAGTCTCTCCGTAATCACTGCAGGAGGAAGTAGAGCTGAAGGTATTAATGGACTGATAGAAAATGTATCTGCAATTTCCTGCATGATAGATGAATAATTTATGTACAATGTTACCTAGCTTAAATTTTCTCGCTTTTGACAATCTGTTGCATTCTTGGTCTCATGTGAAAATATGAAGTAAATACATATCTTTGACTGTTGGTTAATTGTTAAAGAATGAAAACAGTGATGGGAATTGTTTAATATTTATTTACATTTCATAGAACAAACAGTAAATTGAAAACAACCAGCAGAGATAATAAAAAAATAAAAAATAAATGTTAGTTGCAGCATAAATAGGATGTCCGCTTGGTAAAAGATCTACATTGAATCCGTTTCTCATACAAATTTCTTATTACTTTTATTTCTGACGTACATAAAGTTCCTTGTTTTACATGGAGGTGGACAGGATCACGGTTCCTTCCTGCTGTGTCCCTAACCCCCCTCCTGAGATTTTGTAAGCCCACTGAAAGGGAAATGTGCAGTCAAAACACAAATCAACTGATTTGGGAGTGCTGCAGGTGGATAAATGCTGTGGAACAGATGATGGACAGTAGAGGTGCACACTGTGGGAAAGGGACTTTGGGAGGAGATTGGAAAAAAAACTTAAATGTAGAAATCAAAATCAAAAGAGGATGAACTGATCTCTAGCAAATAAGGACATTCAAAGGCACGGCCATCTTTCTACCCACAATGTTTGCCAGGAAGGATACCTTGCTGATCTGTCCATCTGAAGGATCTGATATGTCTGATCAGATCCACATGAACCCTTTGTACTCACTCCTGTGGATAAGGAGGCAGTGAGAGGTTGTGAAGTAATCCTCACCACAACACAGCTACAGTGACGCCACTGGAGGTGAGAACAGAAACAAGGTATTTAGTTTGCTCCGATTTTTCCGTGTCTATTTTATAAGCTAACACTGGAAGCTGCCATTGACTGCAGTCTGCCCACTCTGAGGAAACTGGATGTGTGAAGAAAAATACCAAACTGGGTGGCAGGACAGAGACAGACACTACAACATCTGGAAGAGGATCAAAACTGTACATTTCTAAGTGTAAGAATCAAACAGACAAAATATTTGTAAATATTAAGTTTCTTGTTTGTTTTTCTTTTTTATTTTTTTGTTGAAGGAATGAATGAAACGCTTATTTTGTGACAACAAAAGACAACAGGTGCAGTTTGCAAAAAAATGGCCACTAACTTGAGGTTTCAAATTTTCTGGTGAGTAAAAATGCTTTGCACTGATCACTTTTCATGCCGTTAGAAAATGACTTCACTTTGTCTCATCGTGTTGCCCGTTATCATGTGGGCATCCTGTAGCATCATGATTTCTTACCAGGATAGTCACTGTAGCAGAATGTATCTCCACTAGTTTCCAATGAATATTACATTTAAAATCAGAACACCAGTTTCAGTCTGTGGTTTCATTGAAGGATCAACTACTCTTTTTGTGTTCAAGCTTTAGCTTTATATCGCGATCCGACTCTACTCCTGATGAATCTGTGTGACTTCAGAGTATTTATGGAAACATCTCAGAGGCTAAGAGCTCTGGTAAAAGCCACCTTTGTCCAGTTAACTAATGTGATGATGGTGTAAAGAACTAGCCAGTGGTTCATGGTCAGGACTTCTAAACTGAGACAGTGAAATGTTAGCTTACTTCACATGTAGCAGAGTTTACATGTAGCCACTTAATCACACGTGGGACAGACATGAGGGCTTTGACACCATAAGATGCCTCACATCCTCAGATAGAGTAATGAGATCACACACGTGGTCCGACTTTTCCTTCCTCACACTGTGTTTGCATTGTGGGTGTGGAGGTTGTGTTGACCTTACAGTGATGTGATGTAGCAGTGAAGAGTGTAACAGTGGATCAGACTGGATGTACGTGGACACACA